TTGAGGAGTGGTGAGTGGAAACAGGTGGCCGTAGCGAGGGCGCGGATGAGGGGGAGGTGGGCACCCAGAAGGGGGGGCCGTACTCGAAGGTGCGCGCGTGGTGCAGGACTAGGTTCTTCAGGGTACGAGACCGGGTTTTTCGTGGTGCGGCGTCTAGGTGAGATAGGATCTTGGGAACCAGCCGTCTTGGTAGAGCGGTATTGGGGGGGCGCCGAGCTGGCTACCCTCCCCCCCTGTGGTTTCCGGAGGCTTGATCGCCCTGCGTTGCCGCAGGGTCTTCCCGTTTGAGTACTTTTCAATTTAGACCCAGTGCTGTGGAAGGGCGCGGACTTGTGCGGTGTTACCCCCTCGACGGGGGCTATCTCCCCTGGACTAGCCCAGGGAGGGAGAGGCGGAGGAGGGTAGTAGTCTCAGGAGGCTGTTTGGCGTCTTGTGGTGTGAGCTCTTTGCGCTCTTTTTTGCGTGAGGATTTTTGAGCTTGGTGACCTCCCCAGCCCGGGAAGACTCGTCGGGCTCCCGGTCGCCCAAGTCCTGGTAGCGAGCTCTCTGAGATGCTCGGTTCGTTCGGTCGGCAGGAAGAGCCCCCCAGTTGCGACTTCGTTTATGTTAGGAGACCAACGGGCATAGATCCCGTCTAGTTGGAGCGCCAAACAAGCGCTGTTGCGTGCCGGCCGTCGTTTCCCGTGCGGCCTGACCCGGGGGCGGAGTGCATGAGACTAACCAGCCGTATGCACCCGCCCCCCGCGCTGTGCTTCGGCCCTGGGCCCCCGGCTTTTCAGCCCACAGTGTAATCAACGTCATACATACATACACACGCACGCACGCTCTCCCTCTGGCCCCAAATCCCCTACCTCGTGACATCGCCCGCGACCGCAGTACCGAAAGCGACGGCAGCGGCACGGCCACAGGGGATTCTCCTTTCAGAGACTGCGGTGGTGGCGACCAGGCTGCCAAGGGCCAAACAGCGGCTGCATCTCCCCCTTCACCTTCACCTTCACCTTCACCTTCACCTTCGCCAGCCTCTTGGGACTGGGCCCCCTGCCCCTCCGCCATCTCCGAAGCACCGCCTTCTCCTGTCGCTACGTCGGCTCCGGAGGTGCTGGCGGCGGCAGCGGCGCGGCTGCTGCCAGGCCGGCTGGTGGTGGCGGGTTTTGCTCTGGGTGGTCCTAGGCACAGCGACAGCTGGTGCGATGCCTGGATGATGAGCTCAGAACCCAGACTGGTGATCATTTCGGGGCCGCTGAGAGTCAGCGGCCGTGGGGGGGGGAGGGGGGAAGGGGGGAAAGGGGGACAGACAGAGAGGCGGGGGTCGGAAGTGAGGAAGGAAAAAAGGAAGGAGCGGGTGTTGGGAGCATCAGGAAATGAAAAACCCAAATCACCAGTTGAAGAGAGGTTCTTGACACACACACACACACACACACCCCTTTCCGGGGAGGAGGGGGGAAAGGAGGGGGAGGACGGGGAGCCACACGTGTTTGGCTCAACATTTCTCTGCTTTTGCTTTGCCCGCCCCCCATCTTGCCCCCATCCAACTCCCCACCTTCCCAGGGCTCTGAGAACCCCCACCCCCACCCCCACCCCCCCCCCACCACGGACACCCGCACCTCTTCAGGAGCTCCTCCAGCTGCTGAAGGTCCTCTTGGACCAGCTCCAGTCGACTCCTGAGTTCCCCGGTCTGCGTACGGAAAAGTACGGAGAAGTACGGCATGAGTGAGGGGAGGAGCCGAGGGGGTTTGTAACGGCCTTCAAGCATGTGGGCCGGCAGCATTACTCGTTGGGTGCTCACGCCCAAGTCCATCCGCTCGACGTGTTCCTCCACCACCCCGAAATCAGTTCTTCCCTTAAAATCCCCCAAACCCCACCTCCCCCCCTCATTCCCCCGCCATCCTCCCCCACCTCCTTGCCCAACTGCGCCAGCTGCCTGTACTGCGACCGGCACAGATCCAGATTCTCCGGCAGGCAGTTCCCGCACATGAGGCTGCAGGCCCGCAGTACGGCACCCAGCTGCCGCCAGCACAGGTGCAGGGCCTCCTCCAGCGCTACAGCCTCCGCCACCTCCCTGGGAAGTGAAAAGGAGGGGAAGGGGGAAGGGGGAGGGGAAGGGGAGGAAAAAAGGGGGGAGTGAGAGGGGGGAAGTGAAAACGCGCCGGCTGAAAGGCGTTGTGTTGTAACGTCTTTGATAGCGCTGGCAGGTAGTCCCCGAGGTGAGAGAGCTTAGGGGAGGGCCTGCGATACTATCTTGTCTTCCTTTTCGAAGCACAAACACACATACATACAGATCATTAAAACACACACACACATACACACACGCTCTTCCCCAGCCTCCCCCTAGGCCCCCCTTCCCTTTCCCCCAGCAATACTCACTCCAGCATTCGCTCGTAGATGGGCGACCCGCGAAGAGCCTCCAGGGCCTCCTGTCACCATCCGGGAAGAAGGGGGAAGGGGAACCGAAGGGGGGTAAAGAGGGGTACGACACGCTGTACGATGACCGTGGTATACGACTCATGGGGATATTTATCAGCTACACTTGCCCAGGTGTGCTTCGTAGCGAAAATGTGAAACACACCACACATGCGGGAACAGATTTGGAAAGCGTTGCAAAGTAAAACGCGACCCACCCGTAGCTCTGTCGCCGTGGCTGCAGACGGCTCAGGCTCTTGCTCGTCCAGGAACCATCCCTGGGTATGGCTCATGCCGTTGGCGTTGCCGCCGCCGCCGCCGCCGCCGTCAGCAGCAACGTCACCACCTGACGGCGCCGCTGGACCCCAAGGTCCAAGCTTCAGCGCAGCACCGGTGGCGGCAACGGCGGCGGCGGCGCTCGATGCCGCCGAGAAAGGCGATACGGCGACTGACGGCGCCGTCGCCGTCACAGCAAACAGGGCCGGCGAGGGGGAGGTTACGGGCGGGGGGGGCGCGAGTGCGGGCCCCGGTGCGGGCGGGGGAGTTGGAGGTTTAGAGGGGGCAGAGCCGGGGACGGGGACGACGGCATTGCCGGGTACGGAAGAGGACCTTCCGGAGGCTGCCGCACTGCCGACGCGGCCGCCGCGGGCGGAGACGGCACGGAGCATGAGGACTCCGGCGGGGAGGTTGGCGGCGGCGTGGGGCCGCGGCGGGCGGCCGCTGCTGCCGCCGCCGCCGCCGCTGCCGATCGACGTGGAGGATGTTCCGGTGGTGACGGTGGAGGGCCGACCTGAGGACCCCTCGGGCGGAACGTTGAAGGCAATTTTGGCGGCGGCGTGCAGCGGTACAGTGGTGACGGCAGGCAGCTCGGGGAGGTGCGGCGGCGGCGGCGGTGGTGGGCCACATGACGCCGGCGGCAGCGGTGGCGGCGGCGGTGGCAGCGGCGTAGCCGCGGTGACGGGAGACAGCGGCCGCTGCTTCTGCTCCTGCTCCCCTTCCAGCTGCTGATGAGGCGGCGGCGGCGGCGGCGGCGGCTGTGGGAGAGACAGCATATCTACGTCCTCCTTGTCCCCTGCTCCCGCCTGCTCAGGCCATGCCGCCTTGCCGCCGCCTGGCCCCTGCTTCCCCCCTCCAGGACCCAAGCTTTGTTCCTGCTGCTGCTGCTGCTGCTGCTGCTCCGACGCCCCCTGCAGCGGAGGCGGCAGCACGTGCAGCTGCGACTCCGCTTCCTCCTCCTCCTCCTCCTGCTCACCCCCAAAGCCCTCCAGGGCATCCTGCAGACGCGACACCAGGCTCCGTACACCCTCCCGGGAGCCTGGCGGTGACGTCCTGTACGGCAATTGCTGCTGATGCTGCTGGGCCGGCGGCGGCGGCGGCGGCAGCAGGTCGCCGTTCCCTGACGTGCCGCTTGAGCCCGCTGCTCCCAAGATAATCTCCTCTTGCTCCGCATCCTTCAACTCCCTTACCGGACCTATGTCGCACTGCTGCTGCTGCTGCTGCTGCTGCAGCGGCGGCTGCGGAGGAGGAGGAGAACGAGGAGGCTGCGGCTGTTGTGGCTCCAAGTCGCCCTCCGACTCCAGGCTCTCAGCTACAGCCCTTCCCTTTGAAGCCGGCGGCGGGGGTGGCGGAACCGCCGGTGGCGGCGGCGGAGCCGGCGCCTCCTCCTCCTGCTCCGCCGAAGGCGGAGCCGCTGCCGTCGCCGTCGCCGCCGCCACCGCCGGCGGCGGCCTGAGAGCCTGCAGCAGCGCCTCCCTAGCGTCCTGCTCCGGCAGCGGCAGTAGCATGGCCATCAGACGCTGGTACTGCTCGTGCTGTAGCGCCGCCAGGCTCTCCTCCAGCGCCCCCAGCCTGGCGGCCTCCGCCGCGGCCCGCGCCTCCAACTCGGGGTCAGCCCCCAGGCGACGCAGTACGGCACCTATGCGACGGGCCGCTGCCGCCTGCGGCGGCGCCACCACATCCGCCCACTGTTGTAGCAGGGCCTCCAATTCCGCCTCCCGTGCAGCGCCCCTTTCCCTGAGCGCTGACTGCAGGTCCGACAGCTTGGACAGAGTCTGATGGTGGGTGGGAGGACCGAGGCCACCGGGAGGACAGACGGACAGACGGACAAACAGAGGGGGGACGAAAAGGTGGCACAGCATATGGGTGCTCGGGGGATACATGGGTAAATGAATAAAACACAAAAATGAACAAAAACGATTCCGCAATGGCCCTCGGTGGGTTGCTGTGACTGGGAGCGTGCGGTAGGGTTAGGGTGGTTTACGAATCTCCCCCCACCCCGTGCAACCACACCATTGCAACCCTCCCCTTCCCCTTCCCCCTCCCCCTCGCCCTCACTCCCTTCTCCCCCCCTTCCTCACCTTCACCAGTATGTCCTCCAGGTCCTTCATCGACTCCAGATGGCGGCCCAGCGCCCCCCCCAGGAGCCCCAAATGCGGGGAGCTCTCCCCCAAACCCAGCTCCACGGCCCGCCGTCGCCGGTGGTGGGCCTCCCAAACTGTGGTGAAGTTGGAGGAGATGACGGCCACGGGCAGGGCGATGGAGAGGATGCCTGAAGGGCGGCGACCGGGAAGAAGGGAGAAGGGCGTGAGCGGCATGCATGAGACTGAGAGAGCGGTGAATGGTGGATGGATGGATGGATGGATGGATGGATGGATGGATGGATGGAGGGCGGGGGGGAGGCGGGGGGGAGGGAAAGGGGGAGGGAGGGAGATGAGAAAACGCCCAAGAGGATGTGTGAGGCTGAAGATGAGGTTGGCGAGGAGGATGTCCGGTCCGCGGGGGGTTGTACGGAATGTTCTGGGAGGGAATGCCTTTGAGGCGACATCACACTCACATCCTTCCGGCATTTCAAGACGGATAAAGGCCTCCCCTTCCACACACATACACATACACACATCTTCAACGCGTCCTCCCGGGGCCCCCCCTCCCTTTCCCACCCACCGCACAGCATGGTCGCGCACGCAATGAATCTGCCCCCCAGGCTGATGGGTACGACATCGCCGTACCCCACCGTCATCAAGGT